ATGGCACAAGAACAGACACTCAGATCAGTGGAACAGAATAGAGAACCCAGAAATGGACCCACAAACGTATGGCCAACTAATCTTTGACAAAGCAGGAAAAAAGACAGTCTCTTCAGCAACTGGTGCTGGGAAAACTGGACAGCAACATGCAGAAGAATGAACCTGGACCACTTTCCTACACCATACACAAAAATAAACTCAAAATGGATGAAAGACCTAAACGTAAGACAGAAAGCCATCAAAATCCTCGAGGAGAAAGCACGCAAAAAACTCTCTAACCTTGGCCGCAACAACTTCTTACTCAACAAGTCTCCGGAGACAAGGGAAACAAAAGCAAAAATGAACTATTGGAAGTCTATTGGGAACTATTCTGATGAGTCAAAATAAAAAGCTTCTGCACAGCAAAGGAAACAATCAGCAAAACTAAAAGCAACTGACAATGGGAGAAGATATTTGCAAACAACGTATCAGATAAAGGGTTAGTATCCAAAATCTATAAAAGAACTTACCAAACTCAACACCCAGAAAACAATCCAGTGAAGAAATGGGCAAAAGGCATGAATAGACACTTCTCCAAAGAAGACATCCAGATGGCCAAATGACACATGAAAAAATGCTCAACATCACTCATCATCAGGGAAATACAAATCAAAACCACAATGAGATACCACCTCACACCTGTCAGAATGGCTAACATTAACAACTCAGGCAACAACAGATGTTGGCAAGGATGCGGAGAAGGAGGATCTCTTTTGCACTGCTGGTGGGAATGCAAACTGGTGCAGCCACTCTGGGAAACAGTACGGAGGTTCCTCAAAAAATTAAAAATAGAACCACCTTACAACCCAGCAATTGCACTACTAGGTATTTATCCAAGGGATAGAGGTATGCTGTTTCAAAGGGGTGCATGCACCCCAATATTTATAGCAGCACTATCAACAACAGCCAAAGTATGGGAAGAGCCCAAATGACCGACGATGGATAAGATGTGGTATATATATACAATGGAGCATTACTTGACAATCAAAAAGAATGAAATCTTGCCATCTGCAACTACGTGGATGGAACTAGAGGGTATCATGCTAATTAGTCAGAGAAAGACAAATATCATATGACTTCACTCATATGAGGACTTTAAGACACAGAACAGATGAACACAAGGGAAGGGAAGCAAAAATAATATAAAAACAGGGAGGGGGACAAAAACATAAGAGACTCTTAAATATGGAGAACAAACAGAGGGTTACTGGAAGGATTGTGGGAGGGGTGATGGGCTAAATGGGTAAGGGGCATTAAAGAATCTACTCCTGAAATCATTGCTGCACTACATGCTAACTAACTTGGATGTAAATTCAAAAAATTAAAAAAATTTTAAAAATTTGTGCAAGATAAAAACAAAAAAGTAACTCAAAAACAGACTAAGAGGAAATACAAAGATGATCAGCTTTAATAGAAGTGACTTCAAGAAATAATATAAACCAAATTACAAAGGAAAAGCATTTTTTAACTATTTTTTTTTATATTTATTTATTTTGAGAAAGAGAGAAAGAGACAGAGAATGAGCATGGGAGGGGCAGAGAGAGAGAGGGAGACACAGAATACGAAGCAGGCTCCAGGCTCTGAGCTGTCAGCACAGAGCCTGAGGCAGGGCTCGAACTCACAAACCATGAGATCATGACCTGAGCCAAAGTCAGAGGCTTAACCGACTGAGCCACCCAGGCGCCCCAAAGGAATAGTATTTTTTTTTTTTTTAGGAATAGTATTTTAAAGGAAATTCTTTAAAAAATATGTTTCTAAAATGAAGGAGAAATAAGGTATTTTCAGAAACACAAAAAAGTAATTCATTAGCATTACAGAAGGAGACCCATTAAGGAAAATTAAGGGCTATTCCTCAGGTGGAAGAATAATGACAGATAAAAAGGCAAGATATAGAGAAGAACAGAGGGGGTCCTGGGTGGCTCAGTTAGTTGGGTGTCTGGCTGTTCATCTCTGCTCAGGTCATGATCTTACAGTTCATGGGATCCAGCTCCATGTTGCGCTCTGTGCTGGCAGTGAGGAGACTGCTTGGGATTCTCTCTCTCCCTTTGCCTCTCTCCTACTCACGCACACATGCGTGCTCTCTCTTTCTCAAAATAAATACTTTTAAAAAATTTTTTAATGTTAAGTATGTGAAAAAATCTAAATAAATAATGGCTATATACAATACCAATAATATGTCTTATATGGTTGAAAATGTGTGTAAAATTGTAAAACACAATAAAAACATGATAATTTAAATCAAAATAAGAGTAAATAAAGTTAAAGGGACCTAAGATCTTTGCATTGCTTAGAAGAGAGTAAAAATACTAAATAATAATTAGATTTTGATAAGTCAAAGATGAATGTTTTACTATCTTAATGACTTATACTAAAAATGTGTATAACATACACACTACCCATATAATATATAAATATACACTAAAATGTATGTAACTTCTTAGCCACTAAGGGGGGGGGGGCAGGGTGTGGGGGCTTCGGTGTTAAATAATAAAAAACATTATCAGACCAAACACAGATGCAATACAGAAAGGGGAACAGAGAACAGGAGGGACAAATAAAAACCACTGAGAATTTGATCACTTTAAATAAAAATACATCATAAACTGCCTTGTAAATACCTAAAGGATCCAAATAATCATATTGGAATTTTAAAAGACTACTTACAACTTATAAGAAATATATTGAAAATATAAGAATACAGAAAAGACTGAGGGTAAAAGGCTAAAAAAGATACACTAAGAAAACACTAACTTTACCGCAGAACTGCAGGAGACATTCTTTTAGGCATACATTAAACATTTATAAAATCCAATCATATACTAAGTCATATGATCACATGCAAGTTTCAGAAAATGTCAAAGATCAATCAGAATACAGACTCTGAATGCAATGCAGAAACAAGTAAAAATGTTGATGTGTTTGAAAATTTAAAAACCAATGAATACAAAAAAATAATCCTAAATGGAATTTTAAAAATACTACTACTACACAGCAGTATTGCAGAAAACAGCTTAAGCCTTGCTTAAAGATAAATTTAAATTTTTAAGTTCATATATTAAAAAAGAGCAAGAAAATGAGATAAACATTAACCTCAAGATGGGGGGGGGGGAATCAACCTAAATCCAAATTCCATAGGAAAAAGAAAGAAAAAGATATGAAAAACAACAAACCAAGCCAAAATTTGTCTCTCTGAAAAAACTTTAAAAAAAGAAGCGAGACAGAGAGAGAATAATTAAATTGACAAACCTATGGCAGGCTGAATAAGAAAAAAAGGAAAGTATTCTAAGCCTTGAAAAGGAGATAACTCTACATTTTACAAATCTACATAAAGATAAGAAAATAATAAAAGTTAGAATTAGGGGCGCCTGGGTGGCGCAGTCGGTTAAGCGTCCGACTTCAGTCAGGTCACGATCTCGCGGTCCGGGAGTTCGAGCCCCGCGTCAGGCTCTGGGCTGATGGCTCAGAGCCTGGAGCCTGTTTCCAATTCTGTGTCTCCCTCTCTATCTGCCCCTTCCCCCGTTCATGCTCTGTCTCTCTCTGTCCCAAAAATAAATAAACCTTGAAAAAAAAAATTAAAAAAAAAAAGTTAGAATTAGACAACAATTTCCTCAACATGATAAAGGCTATTTATGAAAAACCCACAGCTAACATGCTCAATGTTAACACACTGAAAGCTTTCCCCCTAAGATCGGGAGTAGGAAAAGGATGCCCAACTTTGCCACTTCCATTCAACTTCGTACTGGAAGAACTAGCTAAAGCAGGAAAAAGAAATATAAGGCATTCAAATCAGAAAGGAAGAAGTGAAATGATCTTGGTGCATAGATACTATGCTTACATGTAGAAAAAAATTTTTAAAAAACACCAAAAAAAAAAAAAAAAACTGTAGGAGACAATAAATAAATTCAGCAAAGATGCTGGATACTAACTCAACACACAAAATGTGTTGAAAGTGTAGTGTATATTTCTATATACTAACAAAAAATATTCCAAAAAGGAAACTAAGAATTCCATTTAATATGGCATAAAAATACTTCGGAATAAATTTAATCAAGAAGGCACAGACTTATAAGCTGAAATATCACAAAATATTGCTGAAAGAAAAACTGCTGAAAGAAGGTCTAGTAAATAAATGGAAAAGATATCCCTCATTCATAGATTGGAAGACTTAATATGATTAAAATGACAATTCTGCCCAAAGCAATAAGGAAATTCAATGCAATTCCTATACAAATAATGCTTATAAAAACAGAAATATTCATCCCCAAATTCATATTGAATTTTAAGGGATACCAAATATTCAAAACAATCTTGAAAAAGAACAACTTTGGAGGATTCACACTTCCCAATTTCAAAAACTTACTACAAAGTTACCATCATCACAATGTATGGTTTGCTACTGGCATAAGGATAAGCAAATAAACAATAAAACAGAACTGGGAGCCCAAAAATAAACTCTCACATCTATGTTCAATTGATTTTCAAAAAGGGTACCAAGACCATTCAATGGTGAAAAGATAGTCTTTTCAACAGTTTCGGGAAACTAGACTGCACACATGTGCAGTGAATGAAACTGAACTCTTACACTATACCATGTACAAAAATTAACTCAAAATGGATCAAAACCTAAGTTTAAGAGCTAAAACTATATAACCTATTAGAAAGAAAAATAGGTATTAATCTTCATTCATGACTTTGGATTTATTGACACCGAAAGCAAATATGACACCAAATACACAGACAACTAAAGAAATAATAGATAAAATGGATTTCATTAACATTAAAAACTTATGTATCATAGAAGCCTATCAAGAAAGTGAAAAGACAACCCAAAGAAGGAGATGAAATATTTGCAAATCACCTATCTCCTAGGGTTTGATGTGCAGAATATTTTAAGAATTTCTATAACTCAACATCAAAAGTTTAAAAAGGGGTAAAACACAAAAAATAAATAAACATTAAAAAAATTAAAAAGGGGCATCTGGTGGCTCAGTCAGTTAAGCATCCGACTTCGGCTCAGGTCATGATCTCGCAGTTCATGAGTTTGAGTCCCGCCTCAGGCTCTGTGCTGACAACTCAGAGCCTGCTTTGGAATCTGTCTCCCTCTCTGTTCATCTCCCATTTGCACTCTGTCTTTCTCTCTCAAAAAGAAAAATTAAAAAAAAAATGTTTTTTAATGCACAAAGGACTTAAATAGATATATTCCAAAAAAAGATACGGCCAAAATGACAAGGAAAGAGGCTCAATGTCATTTGTCATTAGGGAAACTTAAAATCAGATGGCTGTAATTAAAAAAAATAATAATAATAAATAACAAATGTTGGTAAGGAGATGGAGAAATTAGAACCCTTATATATTACTAGTGGGAATATAAAATGGTGCAGCCAATTTTTGCATTTTCTCAAAAAGTTAAAGAACTACCATATGACCCTACAATTCTACTACCAATTTGAAAAACAAGGACTCAAACAGATTTGTACACCAATATTCACAGTAACATTATTCACAATAGCTGAAAGGCAGAAACAACCCAAATGTTCATTAATGGATGAATGTATAAACAACATGTAGTATGTACGTACAATGACATATTATTCAGCTATAAAAAGAAGTATCCACATGCTACAACATGGATAAACCTTGGAAAAATAATCCTAAGTAAAATAAGCCAGACACAAAAAGGCAAATTTTGGTTCCACGTATATGAGGTACATGTTGTTATCAAATTTATGGAGACAGAAAAGATTAAAGGTTGCCAGGGGCTGGGGGAGAGGAGAATGGAGAATTACTGCTTAATGGTACAGAGTTTCTTTTTTGAGCAGTGAAAAAGTTTCGGAAATAAATAGTGGTGATAGTTGTACAACATTCTCTGAACTGTTACACTTCAAAGTGAGTAATATGGCAAATTTTATGTTGTATTCTGCCACAACAAAAAATTATAATAAAAGATACACAAATAAAAAGTCTCACTCTCCATCTATCCAATTCCACACCCCATCGAATAAAACACTTCTTAGTTTCTTAAGATCTTTTTAATGTTCTTTATGAAAATACAAGCAAAGAAATCCTGTTATTCAATTCTCACAGTGCCTCACTGCTTGAAAAAAAAAGATACCAAGTTACCAAGTGTGTAAGATCATGTTTCCTGTTTTACTGTGTACACTATGCAGTGCTCACCATATAAACATGACCTTTAAAGAGTAAACTAAATACATATGTGTGCACAATGATTTCATTAATAATATTTTATTAAAAAAAAAACAACCATTCTATCATACCTGGTTCATTTATTCTGCCAAATGTATGCCTGGTGTTGTGTTTTCTGGTCTTAAAACATGTTTCACAAAAATCAAAGTCATCACAGTTTCTGCATTTGAATCTAGATCCATTGATAGGAAACATCTGACAGCCATCACACCTATTTTTTAAAAAACCATTGAGTTGATAAGAAAAAGATAAGGCCGTTTATTAAATTTAATTACAAAGAAAAACATTCCCCCAAAACAAATCTAGTGATATAAAAATTAACTCACGTAACCCCAGGATGAACACTAGGCACCAACTCCATTTCTGATAACAGCCCGGTCCAGTGAGACTGCTGAGGGAAGTCGACAATGACATCTTTTCCATTTGCACTGAAAGCTAGGACAAAATAGAAATTGCTGAAACATCTCAGTCACCAATAAAAACCTAAAATTAAAATTAAAACTATACCTAACTACTCATGTGATAATTACATTATAGTTATTTATGTTTTACCAAGAGTATTTCTCTTTTAGAGAGACATACTAAGATACTTATGGATGAACTAACACATGGTGTCCATAAGGGATTAGCTTTAAAATAACCAAGGGCGGGGATCATGGATGAAACAACTTTGACCAGGGGCTGACAACTGTTGAAGCCAAGTGATGGGCACACGGAGGCTCATTACACTATATTCTCTACTTGTATATGTTTGAAATTTTCCACAATATGGTTACTTTGTTTTTAATTACATCAAGTCAAAAACTCCATTTAGTATCTTAGGAAATAAAACTAATAATAATGTTAAGAGATCTCTTGACCTTGGGTGAGAGCACTCTGCTACAAAACATTAACTTCTGAACCAAGTTCTTATTTTCAAAATTTATCATGAGGAGCACCTGGGTGACTTAGCCAGTTAAGCATCCAACTTTGGCTCAGGTCATGATCTCACAGTTTGTGAGTTAGAGCCCCTCATCAGGCTCTGTGCTGACAGCTCAGAGCATGGAGCCTACTTCTGATTCTGTCTGTCTGTCTGTCTCTCTCTCTCTCTGCTCCCTGCCCACTCACGTTCTGTCTCTCTCTCAAAAATAAACATTAAAATTATATGATTTCATTCATATGTGGAATTTAAGAAACAAAACAGATGAACATAAGGGAAGGGAAGCAAAAATAAGATAAAAACAGAAAGGAGGCAAGTCATAAGAGACTCTTAAATACAGAGAACAAACTGAGGGTTGCTGGAGAGGTACTGGGTGGGGAGGATGGAGTAAATGGGTGATGGGCATTAAGGTACTTGTTGCCATGAGCAATGAGTGCTATATGTAAGTGATGAATCACTAAATTCTACTATTAAAATCATTATTACATTATTATGTTAGAATTTGGATTTCAATAAAATTTTAAAAAATAATAATAAATTTTAAAAAAGAAGTACATGGCACAAGAACAGACACTCAGATCAGTGGAACAGAATAGAGAACC